ATCCTTATAATCCCCCATATAGCCAAGAGCTTAGACTGTGGGTCTATAGTCATAGTAAGGGGTCTCAATATAGTAGTTTCCATTTGCTTTTCCATTATCCCAATAGAACCCCTACATAACCCCAATATGTACCCTAAACCCTAAACCCTAAACTAAGGAATTCAGACTGTAGCTGATGTGCCTTCATTGTTTGGTTGCATTAGACCCGAGGGCCCGTCCGAGGCTCTGCAGCGGCTGTGGTTCAGTGTTGGGGTGCTTAGGGTTTAGGGGTGTAGGGTTTAGGGTTATAGGGTTTAGGGTTATAGGGTTTAGGCTTATAGGGTTTAGGGTTTAGGGTGATAGGGTTTAGGGTTTAGGGTTATAGGGGTATAGGGTTTAGGGTTATACGTTTAGGGCTTAGGCTTATAGGGTTTAGGGTTTAGGGTTATAGGGTTTAGGGTTATAGGGGTATAGGATTTAGGGGTGTAGGGTTGAGAGGTTAAGGGTTTAGGGTGGAGGGGTTTAGGGTTGAAGGGTTTAAGGTTTAGGGTTGGGGGGCTTAGGTCCTTTGGCTGCAGCACTGGTGTTTGCGCTTCATCGCCCTTGGTAGTAAAGGAAACATATTTATGGTCTCCCCAGAGGGATCCGGTAACTCCCCAAAGACATTCAGGCACGAATGCAGGGAGTTCAGCCAGGGGTCAGGGTTTACTAGTCTAGGGTATAAGTCATCCCAAAATTTGGCAAAGACCAAGCGAACAATCCGTTCTTTGTGCCCCAAAGTGTGGCTTCGGGGTGCCACACAGTGCCTAGACTTGAGATTTAAAGCCACTGCCTATGAGCCTCGTCTTGGAGTTCCTTCGTGCCGTAATGTTTTGGACGAGTAAATGCTTCTGAAAATATCCGAAACATATACTTACAAGTAGCCATACAAACGGAATTGCTTTAGGAACATATGTAAAAGTAGTGGAAAGCCGTTGGCAAATGAACTCTGCGTCTGCCAAGGTATCACTTCAGCTCACTCGATCTCCAACATCATCTCACCTGACGCGCGTTCATCAGTTCATCTATGCATTAACTGCGGGGTAGATAACCCTACCGTACCCATCTCTTTAAGCCTTGAAGCCTCAACCCTACATTTCATGCATCTCATACCCTTGATCTGCCTGCAACTACATAATTCCACTCAAAAGCTGCAATTGGGTGGCTCAAGATCGGACTTCAAGTGCTCAAATGCCCACGCCATCACTATAATAGAAAATTAATCTGCCATTCGATTCTCCACTATTCCATATATTTCCGCTCTTTGGGCTATTAAAGCCCAAAACCCTCAACCCATGCATTCCCCATCATTGCCATGAGCTCTCAACCCCGTGCATCTATGCATATGTAGATCTCTCCTATTCAATCAAGCCGCCTATATGCGCAACCCCCTCACATTCCCGATTTTTCAGCCTTCTACATTACGGCCTACCATCCGGCACGCAACAAACGACGTGCGAAATGATTGCTCAAGGTTGAGACTCATGATGCTCAACCAGCATGACAAGAAGTTCCCAACCCGGAAGTCAAAACGGATTAAAGTAGATTTTGTTGGTGCGGAAGGGGTCCTGCACATTTCCGACCCGACCCACGTTGCTTGAATAGCCAATGGATCTTACATATTCCTGATATCGCCTGACCCACGGTGGGTGAAGGATTCATGCCCATCTCGTTATATGGCCCCGCCATCCTGCGCAAGCTACTTTAGATTTAGATGTCGACACGAATAGCAGCAACACCAGTTTATGAGCATTTCAAGGTTTCCCACAAGAAGAACCTTATTCCGTCTCAGAAGGTCTGCCTTGCTATCATCACAGCTGAAGGGGCCCCCATGTCAAACGTGCGACTTCCTGAACTTTGCTCCCCAAACTGTTTTCACAACTGGCATAAAACGAAATCAGCCAAAAAGCAGTACATGATTCAACTCCTCCATTCATGCGCGGCATGTGAAAGCACGACTGACAAATGAAATCAATCCCGGTGCATCGTGGGAAATCTTCGAACAATCTTTCTGAGACCCCTCAACATCGGGACCATTGGTGGTATGGACTCTCAAAAAGATCCCCAATTTTGAAACATCCCCACGCCGGCTTACCCACCTCAGTCCTGACTCCAAAGCAACCATCGGCCATGTGCTAAACAATTTCAAGTCTGGCGATGATTAGGAGCTACAGCCAGATCAAAACGGCTGACAAAATCACCGAGAACACTATACTGGTTGACTCTAACGCATGCGCTCGTCGCTTGTATCCAAGAAAACACCGGAACTGAGACCTTGGGCCACACAACAGCACAGACATAAGGGATTCGTGAAAGCCATGTCAACGAAAGATTTTCGCACTCTCAGACATGCGTGCTCAAAAAGCATGAACCAATGGGAGGATTATCCCCTGGTACCCCTTGGGCTGGGCCATCTTCCAGTCGTGGCTGCAATTGCGCGAACCCTTGGAGGGAACAGCGTCACCTGATGATTTCAAGCAGCTAAACTCGTTTAACGCAAGCATTCATCGCGGCAGCAAATCTTTTTTAGCTGCGCTCTCCACACGGTTCTGGTGACTTGTCTCCTCCTACCAAACACTCAGTCGCCTGTGCTACGGCCTTCGGATTTGGGATGAGCGCAGTGAGAGCTCAAGTGGGCAATGTCAAAGTTTGGAGGGACTGTCATCAAGGTTCCCGTTCCTACTCCCAAACTCCCTACTTAGCATTTTGTGGTTATGCTCTTTCAACTCCGGGGGCCAACTCGATTTGACAGGTGACGATAACAGTACTGATGGCCTGAAGCGAGCGCTTGCAAAGCCGCTGGCGACATCTCTGTGGTTTGCCGTGATGGCTTCTGCATTCGCAAGAAGACCAAAGCTTGCATGGAAGTACTTCCATAAAGCAACAATTACGGAGAGTAATGGGGCAGGCTTGGCAATGACGGTAGAACCCCAAGACCCGGTGCAAGCATGTCTTGGACGCCCAAACGGCACCTTTTTGTTAATATGGAAGTTGAACCCTGTAACCTCGTATAGAATACTATACCCCGAAGGAAGATGTAATCTTACTGCATATTGGGGGCCATAGCAACCCCATATAAAACATTACTCCATTGAGCCCATAACACCAATGAGCCACACCCAAGGTCTCGAAAAGGGCTGTTTGGGAGGGTTCCAGGTCGGCTGCAAGGAACACATCGTTCAAGGACTTCCTCAGCTACCGCTTGAGGGCCTCCGACTAAACCTGGGGGTGTTCCAGAAGTCGGGAGAGTAAGGCGTAGCACCTGGATAAGGTATCATAAAGCAACAACATGCACGGGCATTGCATGTCTGTCGACAAAAACGCTACCCCAAAGTGTACCTCTTAAGGTGAACGGCGGGCGGTCACCCTAAATGGACCCCCAAAAGGCTACCCCAAGAGTGTACCTCTTAGGGTGACCGGCGGCGGTCACCTTAAATAAGGCTACCCCAAGAGTGTACCTCTTAAGGTGACCGGCGGCGGTCACCTTAAATGGACCCCTAAAAGGCTACCCCAAGAGTGTACCTCTTAAGGTGACCGGCGGGCGGTCAATTCGTTCACATACTTTTGGGGTTTAGGTATTGATATTCCCCAAATATGTTCCCTGCTTATACCCAAATTCGTTGACATGGTCGGTCCCCAAATCCTAAACCCTTAGCCGTGTCGCCTAGAGCTGTGCAGTTGTCCGCCAGTCCAGCCTGGGAAAAGGTTCAGGGTTTGGGGTTGGGTTGAAGTTTCAAATAAGGTTCACTGTAGGGTTTAGAGATTAGGTTTCAGGGCTTGCCTGCATCCAGTACTACGGGGGCTTAGGTAACCATGGGACCACCAAATAGAGTTGAGTTTGCCGGGCCCACCCCAATCTCCAAATCTTATACCCAACACCTAAACCGTAATCTTCGAACCCACAAACTCTGAAATCTAGGCACCGCGCGGCTACACGCTGCCACGAGCGCAAATCTGCGGATTGCCGCACGACCTGCGCCTGTGCAGGCTTCTAGGGGATTGTGAAACTGGATGATGCTTGTCTTAACCACAACAGGAGTTTGTGTGTTGAAGGGTCGGGGTTTCGAGAGTTGTTGCATTCAGTTTTGGTAGTCGAATTCGCGGCAATCGTGCCGACAGCTACAGTCAGGCTTGTCCTCAAAAGCCCGTGATCCCTGCCCCTGAATAAGATTCGCAGATCTCCTCCCGACCCTACATCTCATAGTCGCAACAAAAAGCCGCATACACACACACACACATAGATATATATATATATATCTATATATCTCCTTGGGGCCAACTGATATTACCGTGTGCCGTGCTTAGGGTTTTTGATGGCAACTTCAGGCGTGTGTGGCTTTAGGCTCGAAGATGTTTTTTTCTCTGAGTTCTCTGAGTGCTTGAGGATGCACTGTGCCACAACTTAAGTAGAACGCCTGTCCCACAAGATCCACGTGACCCTATGGTGCATACTTTGGCCCCAAAGCAGCTCCACCCCCATAAAACCCTGTATAACCGCATTACGGAACACGGTCCAAGCTGACCTTCAAGGTGTAAGCATCAGGGTTCTCAACAGGTTCAGGGTAGTTGAAACCCAAGTGTGAGATCTAGCGTCTATATAACCCTTCATAATACCCTACAAACCTCGGGCATGGTAGAGATTTGATGCTAGAGACGGGGCTTTTCTGAATGTCAATGTGCTCAAGAAAGGAAGGCCTGGTTGTCTTGACTATATAGTACTGCGGTTCTAGATTTAGCGTATAATGATATAGATCTCAATTCAGCGACCTATAGGTGGTGAATATCACAACCAACTGTATCTCATCTTTGGCGCTGATCACCCTGGCCTAGCATCTAACTGAAGTCTCTAAGTGCTTAAGGATGCAGTGTGCCACATGTATAGAGCCCAGGCACCGCAAATAGCACCTACATGTAACCTATTTAGGGGTACGTCTTGAAAAGTCTGGTTGACCCCTCTGAAACATTGTTCCAGTCCCAAACGCAGTGGTGGAACTCGAGCCTGCAACGTTGACGCAATGGCCTTGCAGGAAAACGCGCCCAACACGCTCGGCACCCTCAAGTAGGAGCCCACTTGTTTAAAATGTGAGGCTCTTTGGGGTACATGAGATGACCATTACATGCGGACATGCCCTGATAATGACCTGTCTGCATGGGGCCTTAATAGCGACTTGAGCGTCAGAGCTATGGGTACCATCATACCGGATTGCATGAAAACTACTATAGGGATGGGCATCTGGTAGCTTTGATTTTTCAAAACTGGGGCCCCGACAAGGGCTTCGTCAAGTTTCTCCACTGCGGTAGGCTCCAAAATGGAGGCATGTTAGAGTTGTGTTCCGGGCTTATGTTTAGAACTCGGATGGCCCTGTGCCCTCTTCGGAACTATCGGCTGTTCCTTGGCGCCCTGGATCCAATGCGCGTAGTGTAAATTTGAACCCTGAAGTTCTTGCAAGCCTGCAGATTGGAGTTTGAAGCGCGCACCCCGCACGCACAGAATGCACCTTCCTAGAGCTGAACTCTGTTGCAGCCCATCCCTCCCAAAACCTCTTGGGGTTCCCTGCAACTCTGTATAAATGATGGAGCGACGTGAACGCCATTTTCGCAAACCGTCCCTTCTGTTTGTTTGGCTGGGTGTGCCCATATGGGCGACACCACACGCCCTATAGAACCATTTTGGAGGTTTGTTGATCATCAGAGCTGGGGTGATAGGTAGTAGGATAGCTAGAGCTGTGACAGCTGATTTTTATCTGGTAACACAAAAAAATACAACAACAAGGATACCCTTTTCCTCGCTGGTTATTTCAATAGACGAACCCCAAACACCAAAAATGCATAAAAGGGTACCACTGGGTTTTCTAGTTTGCATTTGTAGAAATGAACCTCCAAGCCACACCGAATCCTGAACACTCTGAATTTTGGGCGTTTCCAAGCATGATGGTTGCCTTTATATACCTCCAAGTAATATCATTCTCATTATGGGGAGGGGACCCCGTTTTGTGAGGGAGCTTTCGACCCCTGTGCCTATATCATCCTATATCCACCCTAGATGGGTGGATATGTATACGTATATGTATATATCTAACCTTTAAAGACACGGTTGTTTCCATATATATATATATGTATATGCTTGGTAGCCCGGTATTACCCAAACTCCAGTAAACACTTCACGAAATGAAATTGCATCACCTCGAACTGTGGCCACCCCACCTTGGCAGAGTCCGCAGCTGACTGGGCCTCCCGCAGGAGACTCCACAGGTGGCAGTTTCTCAACGCGGTTTGGGCCCAGGGCTTAGCAGCTTACATCTCATGTCCAATCCTCAGTTCCCTTCTGACAAGCAGCAGATTAACCTAGAACCCTAAACCCTCTATATCTGCATACACCCCTCAGTTTCCATGTGCCGTTCCTTACCCTAAACCGTAGTCCCTAAACACTATTGTAACCTCCATGTTCTTTTCCAAGCCCTGACCCCCTACCTATCCACCTGAGGTCTAGTCCACTCCTAGTTCCCCCCCTCAATAAGCCCTGCAATACTCCCCTTTAAGGAGTTTAGATCCTAAGCCCTATAAGCCTTAAACCCTAACCCCTAAGAAGTTTAGACTACAGCTCATATGCGACCACTTCAAAGGGGCCCTGTCTATCCCTCATCCCAAAACAATCCCTAGATTATTTCCGGAACCCCTAAACCCCATATCCCAGATCTTATAATCCTACATAGACCAAAAATACCCTTGTATCCCAGGTATGCGTAAACCCCCAAATAAGCCATAGCCCTACATACCCCGTATGGATCCCTACCCGTTTGGTGTCCTGGCGCTGCAGCTTCACACCCTTTGCACACAAACCCTATAGACCCCATATATGTATATAATTATATATATATACACACACATACCTTCTATGCCCCCTTTATACCTCATAGAACCCTTTCTGCGTAAGCCCCAAAAGCTACACCTCAAACTCTTGACCCTCAACCCTTGACCCTGAAGCTTATGGTGTCCTCCAACTGCAGCTTCAAGGCCTCGATGGTCTCCTTGGCGGCCACAAGCTCGGCCTCGCAGGGGCACAGGCCGCTGTTGTAGCGCCTTGGAGCGGATTTAGGTCCGAGAGTCCTGGGTTTGAGGGAATATAGGATGTTAGGGTTTAGGGTTTAGGAGCACTAATGGCGAAGCGACACACCTGTTTCTATTCGTAGCATATGTAGCACAAACAACTGAACAGCAACAAGGCGGACCAACTGGGGTGAAGAGTTCCAATGCGCGAACTTCGCGAGCTACTTCTTGGATGGCTACGCCCTCCTAATTACTTCACAGTGCCTGGCAGGACGCGAAATCGGCCGCAGACTCCTCGAAGGCGCGCCATGTGGTGGATGGGGTTAGAGTAGAAGGGTAAGCGAGGCACACGCCTGGACTGAGCCAGCCCAGCCGGTTTCAACCAACGCTTCCGCGTTTCTTCATTGAATCTGCAGTGGCCCAGAAATTTTGTGCAGGAACTTGGACTTCGGCCATAGTTGCTTCAACCCCTCATCCAGTTGTAGTCTTGCACGTTTTTCGTTACCCGTTGAAGTATACAGCCAGACTTGGAAACAGTTTGGATCCAAAACTGCAAACTCCACAAACCTTACACTTGAAGGCATGGAGACCATCGGAATACACAACTGTAGTGGGATTTCACGTCGTGGGCCAGCTGCATACCCGAAGAATCCCGAAGATGCACGGTTTGGACCTGGAGCGCTGAGGATCCCAAACGCAGTGAATCTTGCTGATAGGCCTGGAAAGACAGTTCGGATGCGAGACCTGTTGTAGAAGAGCAGCCCTCGTCCTTCCTAAAAAGCTCTGCACGAAGCACTTTGGCCTTCAACAAGATATCAGGTTGTCAGGTCAACTTCAGTTGACCCTCCCCCTAACATGGCAGCGCCCCCGAAATGGTGCTACAAAGCCTGCTGTCCTTTTGCAAGGGTTTATGTGCGATTCCTTGTTAGTTTTTGGCTTCAACAATTCAATCAATCCTAAACCCTGGAGCTGAAAACTTGCGGCACTACACCCAAATCACGACGTCTTCTTGGGATTCCAGCCCGTTCTTTAACCCGTGCACCCACAAGAGCTCTCAGCTCAAAACGCTGGAGATTGAGTCCAAGACCCAAACAGCTCAAACACTTCACAGAAAGACAAGTATCACAGCCCGGCGCCATATTCAAATCTGCAAACTCACGTGCCAAACCCCTGTACTAGTCATTATAGTCCGTAAAGCGCGACTAGTTTGCAAAGAGAGATGGAATCCTTCCGGTAGACTAGCTAGCATCTACAGGATTAGCAAGAATAACATGTTTTCTTTTCCCGTCCTTCAGCCCCCGTCAAGCAGAGGTCAATAAGAGGGGCCTTCACCCTGATGACCTTATATACCTACCATATACCCTACATGTACCCTTAAACGAGGCTAGAGTCACCCCTAAAATACACCCTAATAGTTTAGGGGTTTAGGGGTTTAAAGGGCTTTAAGGATATAAGGGGGTTAGGGGGCTTACGGGTTTAAGGATGTAGGGGTTTGAGCCAGCTCCCAGTCCTCTAGCTGCGTTTGGAAGGACTGGGCGGCTGCCTTGGACGCCTGCAGCTCGGCCTTGCAAGGGATTCGGGTTTACGGTTTAGGAATGATCTTGAACAGTGGGGCTTAGAAGGGTTTTATAGGGATGATTCAAAAGAAAGTGGAAACTACCATTTAGGGTTTATGGCTTTGGGTGGTGGTCAAGCTTGTGCTTCATCTTTGGGCACCTCATGAACAGGCACCTAATATTTAGGGTGCACATTATGATGAAGGGACCAGACCAGATTTGTTGACAACCCGTCATGTTTACTGTTGGATTTGAAGCAACACAGACGCAGGCCTCGATCAATACACTGAGGCCCTAAGGGCCAAGTGGTCAAATTATAAAATGGGCCCGCATGGGTTCCTGTATAGGAAATTTGGGTCCAAGTTATTTCTCAAATGTGTGCTTGCAGCTTTAGGGAATAATGTGGGGCCTTACAGGCTCTTAAAAGGCCATTCTGCGTAGCTTTGCTGGATGTATTCTGAGGATTGCAGGATATCGCTGGCACATGTTGAGGCTGTGCCGCATGCAGGGCAAGCTTGACTAGGGGCCTCTGAATCGAACCTTGTATCTGCAGTACACGGGGAAAAACTGAAGGCAAGCTGCCCAGCTACTGCGATGTAGCTGGCTTTTTGCCACTCGCTTGGCTGCTTCAGAATTCACAAGCAACCTGAGCAGCGGTGT